TCAATAGTATGCAGGGAATCAGGGAATTCATCGTAGTGATAATGTTCTTGAAATCATCGTGTAATAATATTCACGTTGAATATATATATAGATATACTTTTTTAACAAATTCGCATTTTCTATGAAGTATTATAAATACAGAAATCAGTTTCAACAGCAAATTTTCCACCAGAAAAAAAGAACAGAAAAATTCAAGAAACCGTAACCCCAAAAAATCAAGAAATCAACAGCCGCCTTAACTCCTCATTACTATATAATAAAGAAATCAACAAACGAAACTAGGGTGGAATATATAATAAATATATCGCAATGATCATGTCTCTAAAAATAGTAAAAAGTATAAATAATTGGTACAATACGACAGCTCCACTATAGACCAGATCCATTAGATTAGAGAATCAAATGAGAGATGGACACATTATTCCCCCGGAAAGTACGTGACCGAGCTTCCCATGTATCAGCCATATAAGTAGAGTGGTGGCTCGAATTCTTAAGATGAAAAACTTTTTATTTCAATTTTTTTTTTATAAGAAATATGAAACAGAAAATGCAAGGAACCCAATAGCCCATCATGCTTTTTACAAAAGCCTAATCAAGAAGAGAATCCTAGTTGAACTATACGAGAAAACCCATTAGAACAAGGGCTCTCGTGAAAAAGAGTTGATATATAGATAAGGCGTTCCCATAGAACAAAGGTTCTACCATATGAAATCACATAGAATGAAAACGTAAAACAACGAGACAAAATGTAAAATTATAAAAGAAAACATAACAGGATTGGTCAGGCTTGATCCGAACAACGTACCAATCGAAAAGAAAAACCATAAGTGAAAGAGAAGAGTCTTAGTATCTTTAGAGAGTGTTAAGAAAGCTAGCCCAATCGCTCTCTGCGCTCTCGATGTCATCATACGAGTACTCCAGAGATGGTTTCACCTCCTCCTTCCATTTAAGCGCAGCCACATGATGCTCCTCAAAGGCCTGAGCAGCCTCCTCTATGAGGAGTGATAGATTCGCAACAATCTTTTGGAAACTCATCTCAACCTCATCCTTCTTGGCCTCAAACTTCACTATGGCTTTCTCCATAGCGAATAATTTGACATGCAACGTGTCTCCTTTATGAGCCAAAGCCTTAGCTAATCCAAGCTCAGCGCTCACTCTTTTCTGCTTCTCATTGGCCATCTCTCGGAGCAATGTGGCACGCTGCTGCGCAAGTTGGAATCGCTGTAAGGCCATGGGTCCTTTCTTTATCACACTTGTGTACAGGGACAACCTCGCGATGTAACTTACCGAAGCTGAGGTTAGCTCCTCAAAACGTGCAGCCATCGTTAGTATCTGCTCGAAATCCGAACGAGTCACCAGCTCCTTCACTTTTATATTACGATATTGTTTCAGGATCATTCTTAGCTTCCTTCTCGTCTGAAACAATGTTTCTTTCTCATGCTTTTCAAAAATCTTGGTCAGCGATGCTATGAGGCTAGAGGTATTTGACGCGGAGCCCTACACATATCAAAGTATGTCTATTTATGGTGATGCTAATAAGAAGCTTAATTAATTTATCCCATAAATTATTGTTTATTTTTCATGGAAAATGTCCTCCAAACCTCGTAAGTAGACTCTTCCTTGATGATATCATCTACGTCATACTCTCTTAAAACGATGGGAAATTCCTCATCTTCCCTAACACCATTTTTCTCTTGGTTAAAACAGCGCCACTCACCTATTAATTAACTTATAAATATACCATTTTATAAAAAAACTAATCAACAAAACACTTATACGACCATTAATTTTCTCATATGTTTATGGTATCCAAATTAAAGCTTAATTGAGAGATGAACCTTTTTGTCGAATTCCTCGAGATCCCATTATCCTTGTAGTGATTTCCATCGATTCAAATTGTTGACGTCTTTCCATAGACGCATCTAATTAAAGAAAAGAATTTATGATATACTTTGCTATATATGTTCTTGTAACCAAATTACGAACTACGTTA